AAAAATTGTTTAAATTTGCACAAGGAAGCTGAAAGAAGCCGAACCAGAACAAAATATGAAAGGAGCAGTAAACGGTTGTAAACAGATCTAAAGATGTGATGGATGTAAAATGAGCTCAATTCATTTTCTGAGGAAAAATTTGCAGAAAAGGCTAAATATTTCAAAAAGCTAAAGGTGCACCACTACCAAAAGTCATAGCAGGATTGTTCTGAAACAGCTGCTGAATGTTTTGATGTGATTTGTTGAAATAGCTTGAAAACTGCCGGATGAAAACCGCGCCTAAAAATGTACGGAAGAAAAATGGATCATAACAGTGTGAATGCTTCATAAACATTCACACAATAAAATATAGTATTCCTTATAATATACAAGTTTGCTATTCATTATTACTTGTATGTTATTTTCCAATTTATTCTGTGTCCTCGTTTGGTCATTTATGGCTGTAGGCACAATAACATGTTTCACTGCATGTTTCATCATGTCTCATTGTGCATAAGATAAATAAAAGTCTATCTTAATTTATCTTATACAATATGGCTAAATATCTTTAAAAGTGATGGAGTTTTAGTCTTTTCTGTGTTCAGCTTTAAGCAAAAATGGGCATAATTATTCTCCTCTACTGCGAGTTTAGATTTATTCATTTTATCAATACATTTCCAAACATGAAATTTCAACAAATGTTTTTCTTGTCATGAATAAAATCTGATAAAGAGCAACTTCGTGCAGCTCGGTTGTTTTTTTCTGCAAAAATCTGTAAAAAGATGACCCATCTGCTCAGTGCGCACATGCTCCCTCAGATAGCTCGTAGCACTGTCTTGCATATGCAGATATGTTTTGCCTGGAAATCTATTTGAAGTTGCTCGAAGGAATCCAGAACGGTCCTCCTTCTGTCTCCCCCACCACCACCACGCGGGGCTCCGGCTCCTCTCGCGTGGAAAACATTTTCACCAGCTCCACTCGCATGGACAGTCAGTGGCGCCTCCTCGCCTCACACAGCTCCTTCCACCACCGTGGGGCCAGTATGCAGATTCTCATGGGCCCCTGTCCGCGAGCAGAACAAGGAGCCCCGCAACTGTTTGCTCACTTGGATTAAACATGCAGCGCATCGACACAGGGAATAATTACCCAGTCTGTGCTTTTTATTTTTTATGCTAAGCACCTAAAAGGCCCTCCCTCCTCTGTGGTGCAGAAAGAAAAAGATGAGGTGCAACAAAAACATCCTTGATGCTAATTTGATTAAAAACAGGGCAACACTTGTTTAATTTGACTTACTTTAGCTACTTTCTGTTGCAAACTGATCTATGAGCTAACGCGCTTTAACATTAAAGGCCTAGCACTCCTTCAAGTACTGTATTTTTCAGAGTATGAGGCGCACTTAAATTCCTTTAATTTTCTCAAAAATCAACAATGAGCTCTATAATCCAGTGCACAAGTATTAATTCTGGTTGTGCTTACTGACCTTGAACTGATGTTATGTGGAAAACGGTGCTCAAAAATCTGTCAAAATGTTTTAGCTTCGCTTAATGCGTTTTATAATCCGGTGCGCCTTATAGTCCGAACAATACGGTAAAGCATATGTTTTTCGGTTGTAGTCATTTTGGTCAAATCTCATATAAGTGCATTCTCATGTAATATCAATTATTTTCTCACTGGTTCATGACATTAAAGCTACAGACAAACACACACAGGCAAAAACATTATTGCCCTTTTGTCTTCAGCGGTGAGCGAAAATGATAATATCTTTGTTTTGATTCCAAAGTTTTATTTAAAATGATGTTAAAGTGTTTGCATGTTTGAGTCAAGAATTAGTGCTACTTTCAGGAGAGATGCAAAAAGAAGGAAGTAATGCTATGATGTGTGTGTGTATACCAGAGGGCTGAGAAGGCAGACTTGGGCAGATGGTGCACAAAGGTGTTCCCACACAGTGAGTGGGCACTGCGATTGATGCATTGCAACATCCAAGAAGGTGGAACATTTGGCTGCTGACCCGCAGTCAGAACTCATCCGCCCGGCCTCCTCCTCCTTATTTAGCTGTGGACAGAGAGCCGACGGGTGATTTGGTCAGAATACACACACATTCAGTACTTTCCCACCCTGAAGGAAAGCCTGCGCGCTGCAAACTTCTCCCTCGTCTCTGCAAGGAGGTCACGATGGTGGAGCAGGGAGGACGAGTGCACAGAGCCATGGAGAGGAGCCGAGGCGGCACACGGACTTACTGTTACACTTGGATGGAGAGAATCTGACCCCGAGTCTGTTCTGAGGGGCCTTTGTTGCTGAAGCAACTCCATATGCCTCAGCTAATGTGGAGCACATGTCTCCTGCGTTTGTTTGCTATGTGCGTAAAAATCACTCAATAAATACGAAGCGCAAGGAAACTAAAATATCTTATTCTCCTTTGCAGCTCTGAGAAAAAGACATTCTCTAAAATACTTTTTAAATGTGAGAATCATATAAACTTCAGTGAACTTCCTCAAGAAGCTGAAAGTGAGTGGTTAATACTTTGTAATAAAAGTAGCTGAACACTGAATTGATTAAAAGCCAAAAGGGGTAAAACAATGGCTGAAAGCTAAAAGTAGCAACACACTCCACAAACACTGCAAAATGTTAGCTAAAAGCCAAATTTAGCAAAACAATAAACACTAATAGTAGCAAAGCACTAGCTAAACACAGCAAATGTTAGTTAAATGCCCGTAGCAAAATGTCAGCTAAATGTACCATAAAACTAGCTAAACGCTAACAGTAACAGAAGCCAGGATAAAAGCTAAAATTATCAGAGCATTAGCTAAAACCTAAAAGTAGCTCCATGGTGACTAATAGCTGAAGTAGCAAACAGCTAGCAGAAAAGTCAAAAGCAGGGAAAGCTAAAAGTAAAAGTAGCTAAAGCTATCTTGAAGCTAAAGGTAGTAAAATGCTTGCTAAAAGCTAAAAGTAGTCAAAAAATAGCTAAGAAAATCAAGTAGCTGAAGCAGATTTTAAAGAGAACAATGTTTTTGAAGAAATTATTTTGTAAATGAAGTTGAATATTTTTGAAAAATCATAAATTAAAAAAAGAAATACTAAATTGCATAACCCATATGCTGAAGGAGCTGCATGTTTTTGATGTACACATGCCTAAAATAGCATAAAGGATGTAGTTAGTTTAAAAAAAAATGTACAGAGAAATTAAAACAGGAAAATAAATAAATGCTTATCAGCATCCACACTCTAATTTGATGAGCGCTCGTCATTTTTTATTCTATACCATAAGAAAATTATTATTATCATTTTTAACTAATTTAGTTAGAAATTATTGTTAAATAATCCCAATCTGAGCAGGTTCAATTGAAAAATGAATCAAACTACTGGTGGTAAAATGTTATATTTTAAAACAGTCAATATTTCTCCAAACTATCAGGATTTTTAAATGAATAATAAAAAGAAGCAGCCAGGTTCAAAGATATAATAATCTCTTTAATAACAAACAGTATTATGGTAGTTGTGCACATGGTGAGATCTTAAATCAGTTCAGACTGGAGTTGTCTTACCAAAGGCAACATTAGAGCAGAAGCTTTGAAACATGAAGTTTGCTTTTTGACTCGCTGTATTCGACACATTTGTGATGAGGCATTTTTATTTTTTGCTTATCGTGAGCAAAATGTACAGACTGGAACCAGTTCAGACATATTCTTAACTAAATGGGTCCTTGTTGTATCTTTCCATTTAAATGTCAAATAACGTTAGTGAATGCAGTTATGGTGAATATACATTTTCTTGATTGTTGCCATATTATGAGCCAAAGGAAAGAGCGCTATCCTGTGGTTATAGCTGACATTTTCTTTTTTGTGTGATTCACCTTTTTTCACACTCAGATCTGTAAAACAATAAAAAAAAAGATATCTGCTGATTTTTGTTTATTTTACAGCTTCAACACAATAACTGTGGAAAAGTCACTGAAGCACAGGTTCTTTGAACTCCTCAGCTTGTTAATGTTATTTTATACTATAAGTACTCTATTAGCTCTTATTTGAAAGAGTTTCACTTATAATTATGGAAAAAAAAACAAAAAAAACTTCCATGACATTTTTCTGCTCATTTGAGAACTGGATATACATCATATTTACTGTGGATTGAAGGACATTAAAGCAAATCCATCAGCTTAATCCTGATTAAAGAATTTTTAAAGTTTTTGTAAAAGCTGGCCTCGGATCATATTTGTTGCTGTTCTAATCTTCCTTATATTTTACTGACAAACAGCTTTTCTCTTGGCAAGTTTTCTTGGTCCTCCAGACTTTCTCACGACCTCCATCGCTGCTGTTACATTCCTTTTTCCAGACAAACCTGCAACTTGAAAACACTTTGTTCTCTGTTCACATCTTGTCATGCATGCCCAGAAAGCTCAAATTGTTGAGACAAGGATCGAGATTTTAAAGCACGTGTAAAGTGCTTCAATTTGCATCACCAGTTGTGGTTTAGTATCCTTTAGTCCCTTTAAAGTAAAATAGTACCGGTACATAAAGTAACATGTGCAGTTAAACAATTAGCTCAACCTTCACTTCTGCTACATAACATGTTGTGACTGTTACCAAATGAAGACGCTCTGAGCACGAAGTTAAAAGCAGAACTGAGAACAATACCACAGTGATCTGATTAGCTGAAGGCCTGAAAGACTTGATCAGGAAGTCCTGACTTTGGTTTCAGGTGTTTTTTGATGCAAACAAAAAATAAATAAAAGAAAAAAATATTCAGCCAGGATGGAAGTTCACAAAGCAAGGCTGCTTTTATACCCTTCATCAAACTATTCAGAAATCCAGCACAGACATATTCTGTTGGATGCAAAGCCGTGGGAAGTTGGGGTGCTGAGGGTGCTAAAGCACCCCCCGGTGGATGTCACTGTAAATGAACATACAATAACCAAAACAAATGTCAGTGTTTTTCAATACTAGGTGTATTTCTTCTAAAAACTATATGTATATTAATGAGATTATGAAATCTGATACATAATCTATGACAAACCCCCCAACTTACACACGTCCCCACGGCTATGAATCTAAACGACAAGAACACATGAGTATCAGTCCAACACTCACATCTACTGCTTGACTTGACCTGTCTGCACTGGACTTTACATCAGGTCAGTCCTCATCTACCACCATCACGTTCCCACTCAGCTCATACTTTATGGTGGACCAGTCGAAGACGTTTCCCTTGGGGATCTTGTGTCCATAATGCCAAGCCTGAATCAGGCTCCTAGAAAGCACATAGTCCCACATGTTCAGGTCAGTCAGTTCTCCCACGAAGCTCTGCGTGGCCTCCAACCCCCCCAGGTGCTTGTCGGGGTCTTGCCCCAAAAGGACGGTGCCTTTGGGACGGATGCTGTGACCAGGTTTGTACACTTGGTACGTGCTTCGTTTGCCGTCCACCCAGAAAGCAGCGAGTCCGGTGCGAGACTCCCAGGTGAGGCAGAGGCTGGTGCGGAAGGTGCTGAGGGGGGGCAGGTTGTAGAAGGTGCCGTCGCCGCTCATGTAGAAGGAGACGCGTCCGTCTTTCTCGCGCCACACGTTGAGCTCGTCATAGTCGGGTGTGCGGTAGGCGAACAGGATGATCTGCCGTTCCTCCGGCAGCTCAGTGGCTACACGCATACAGAGGGTGAAGGCCCGGAGAGCCATGTCCTTCTGGGGGAGCAAGGCCACGTAGCTGAAGTCCGTCTCGAAGGGGAAGACTAGAACTTTGTTGGCCAAGCCCACTGAAATCAGTCAAACCAAAGAAATCTCAGTCAAGGTGTGAACTACATAGAATCAACATGATTTCACCAAGATCTTTAGAGTTTATAACTGCAGGTTTCTTTGTGCATCACATTGCAGTTCAATGTTACGCCGACGACTCTCCAATTTATCTCTTCCTTAAAAGGAGCTCTACATCTACTCTGAAAGTTTCACTGGACTGTTTAGCTGGTTGAAAGTCATGGATGACACAAATCATTATTAACCTTAAAGGCTGCAAAACAGATACAAGATATCTGAGACCTTCTGACCGTCCCTCTAACAGCAGTGAGCTTGTAACAAGGCTTTTTAGCCTAAATGTTTCTATTAAATTTATTGAAACTCCTAGAACAGCTTTCAAATGATTGGATCTTTATGAATGCCTCTTAATTTAAATGTATGCACAAGTTAAAGAGTTATTTTTGCTCATAAGATAATTTAATTCCTACCTTGTGTGGCTGTAGAATGAGTCAAAGACAAAACAGCTGCACAGAAATAAACCATGGGGATCACTGCAGTGTTGACCCTCTGAAAACACACAGGACATCCAGACAAAATATATCTAAACAATTTCAAAGTAATATCATTTAATGGGTATTTACACTGCATCAAATACTAAATTACATGCTCTTAAGGAATAAAGATTGTTTTACCATTTTGGTGTAGTTTTGTTGCTCCTTTGTGGATAAATCAGTCCTCTTCCCTCCTAGCACAGAGCCTGATGTCACTTCTTCTGTCCAGGCTCGCACAAAAGGTTCAGTGTGTGAAGTCTGAGACTGTCCGTGTGACTCAGGTCCACACACACACCAAACTCAGTGTTTACAGCAGAAAGAATAAAAATCAGACTGAAATCTAAACTAGTTTATAACGGCAGTTGAAAAAAAGTTTCATTTACTTTTGGATATCTAACATTCATTTAGGTTTTCTTGTCCTTTTTCACCCACATTTTAGATTATGTCAAGATTTTCTAATCTGCTTTTGATGCTTTCACTTGTGAGCATCCTGCTTTTATTTTTGAAACCTCTACTACTGAGTGACTGAGAAAGCACAGATAATTAGCAGTACCCTTGTATCATTATAATGTCCTAAAATAATAAACCTGTTAGTTTCATCAGTTGTTCTAAAACATCTGTCAGGATCAAACTTACAACATCACCTTCTCAAAACCTTCTTTGTTTTCTTCTGCACATTAAACCTCGTCTGTATCAGCATATTAATATGCCAGACCTTGACCCTCCTGCTGCCCTTGGATCAAAATGACACTTGGCCTCAAGTGATGAAACATCTACAAGCATCTTTCTCATCTCTTTTCCGTACATACACAAATTATACATCTATACTTGGCATTCTTGTCCTTTTTCTCCTACTGCTACGACCAATTGTCTCTCAAATCCTTCCAAAATGCAGAAACTACTCACCCAACTTCCAGATTTCAGTTGCATTTTAGCTCAAAATATTATCTTTGAAACTGGAAGTTATTATAACTTGTCATATCTCTTATATAAAACACTGTAGGAACATAAAAACGTATGTGACTGTGTCTTTTATGATCTTAGTTTTCCCACAGTGACTGTTTGAGCCTTATATTTATGTCTGTCAGAAAAATCCTGTTTGACATTGATTATTAACAGTCTACACAGTTAAAGGCAAATTTTAATTATACATTAAAAAGCGACTCAATAAATTGCAATTTCTTTCTGGTCTTGTCAAGAATTTTACTGCCAATTTGCAGTTTTATTTTAAAATGCAGTGAACTTCATTCACATTTTATATTTCTTTATCTCAAGGAAAACACAACGAAGACGCTCCAAGTTCACGGTTTAATGGGAACAAATGAAAACAGAATCAGGCATTTGTTATCAACATATCTACATTTAATACAGTTTCTCAAGCTATAGGATTTCTCAAAAAAAAAAAAAAAAAAAGAACTCTATCTCATCAAGAAATAAAATCTGAGTAACAGCTAAATACGCACGCTGCCTGAACTCCAGCATGTAAAAATGTCACCAACAGGCCTGATTCACACACATTCAGCAGGAAACACTTGTAAACTACTCGGACTCAGTTGAAAGTGTGTTTTACGGAGAATGCCGGAGATGCGAACCCTCGGATCGAGGTATGATTGACAGAAGATGGTCGTAACTCTTCCAGCATGTTTTTTATGGCAGCTGCTGGGGCAGTGATGCTTCTCAACCTCAAATCTGTGAGACAGAACACGATTCAGTTCACGGACGTCTCAGGTGCTCTGAGGGAGGGAAAATAAAATGAAAGTTGAGGAAAAATGCAAAGCGTCTTCAGAAGTCACTTCATGCTTGCCGTCAGCGTCCACATTCACTCCAGGCAAACAGCTTGAGCACAAAACACCTTTTCGTTCTTTGCTCTTACGAACTCGGACTGTTCTGCCAAAGCAGGTTTCAGCTGCAGCCAAAACAGCGAAGGTCTCTCAAGCTTTAAACATTTTCAATTCATATCCAGCAATGTGAAAACTTTTGATTTTTTTTTTAACTATGCAGCCGTTTATGTTCTGTTTCCAGTTCAAGGCTTGTCAGAAACCATCTTGAATTACTGAGGGTCGACCCTAAAGCTAAAAAAAAAAAAAAAAACCGCATACATTCAACTTATCGTAATTGTCTGTTCGGGTGTGATTGATATGCAAAGGGTGCGAAAATCTAAAAACGCTGACAGGAAAGTGGCGAGGATGAAGCGCCACCAGCAGGCAGAAAAGAGAGATCGCTCCTTTTTCCTAAACACTCAAACGTAACCTTTGATGAAAACCTTTTTTTTTTTTTGGCAATTTAGTCACCCCTTAACAACTATACATGAACAGACGGGCAAACGCTCTATTTTTAATGAAATACGACATGAAATATCAAATAAAAGGCCAATGTTTCCCTAAACTCAGCTAGCATAATATGTGCTTGATTTATTTGCCTTTATATATATTATATATATATATATATATATATATATATACACATATGTGTGTGCGTGTATAAATATATATATTGTTGGTATATGTGAAACACTGGAGTGTGATGCTAATGTCCAAGAACTGTGGCCCTCAAAGCGTGAGAGACACAGAGAAAGCAGGCAGAGTGCATCAGAGACCTGAGGACGAGGCCTCCTCTACGAGCACGGAACGATTCAGGCTTGAATGAACAAAACCAGAGAAGAGAACGGCCAGAAAGAGTAGAGCGAACACAGTCTTAAAGGGAGCAGCAGGCCACGAACGCTGAGCCTCTGAGAGTTGGAGCGAGTGATGAAGAAGTCAAACCATCAGGAAGAGGCAGGTTGAGACACTTGGTTCCCGTTTGGTAGTCCGTCTGTGTGGCTCGTGTAAAAATTCAAATCCAGGCAAAATGGGTGATCTGTTCTCTTTCCTCTTGTCCAGGTCCTGTGTTAGCGGAATGAGGAAGGAAGCATGTCTCGTCAGTAGTCCTCCACCCAGCCGTTCTCCTGAATAAAGGCATCGATCACTTCCTTCATCGCAAGGTTGGGGATCAGCTGATCCTGGGTCAGGGGGCTCCGGGTGACTGGGTCGAAGTGACCCACTCGCTGCACACACGCAAACAAGAAGCATGTCATGTATTTGAACACAACTAGATTTTTTATGTTTTACAGAATGCTTCACAGCTTCGTTTAAGTTAGCAAAAACCAAAATAAGCATGGGCTGGAAAATAAATGTTTCGACTTTCGAGTGACTGACAGTAATTTGTAGCGATATACGATATTTGATTTTTGGCCGATATCCGACAGGCTGATATGTTAAAATTTATTTGGCCAATACCTGATACCAATACCTTTTTTTTATTTTTTTTTTTTATCCCTAAACCTACTTACAGAGACGACATATCTTTATCTGCTGTGGAATTAAAATACATTATTCTGCATGGTCTTTGTCAGTTTGACCTGCTAACAAATGCAGATGCCAAAAAGGAAGCTGAAAATGATGTAACACTTCAACTTGGGTAATGCTTGATGTCAAATTTATTCATGACATTTACTCTAACACAATGACATCACTCGAACAGTGCAAATTTGTACATTTTTACAAATCTAAACTCAACAGCAAGTGTGATGTCATAACGTTGTGCTGGCGCTGCAGCATCCTTGTCACTGGGTTGTCATACAAAAACAGTGCCATATATATATATATATATATATATATATATATATATATATATATATATATATATATATATATATATATATATATCAGCGAGTTATTTTGATGGAATGGCCGATGTTCAATATTTAACTTTATCGCCAATATCGTCTGATACCATGCCGATAATAATGTGCATCCCTAATAATTAGCATAAAGATGTGATCTTAAGGAATTTATTAGATGTGGCAATTACCTTACCTTAATAAAATCTAAACATAAAGTAAAATGAATAGTATAGCTTGTGATTTGGACCACATTACAGTGTGATTACTGAGCGGGGGCCTGTAGCTATAAAACAAGCTTACAGAGTAACTTCATGTTCATTTGGGTTGTTTCAAAACCACAAAGCTGGTTCGTATGTCACTGTGACAAATTATGCTCTAAAATTAACAACACCGTCATTTTTTTTGTGTATTTCCTCAAGTTTGCTCAGCGTATTGAGATACCAAGATTGTAAGAAAATAAGGTTATAACGTTTCTTCTTTTCCATGGCAACCTGGAGATGACATTATATATCAGATCAGAGTATCAGATGCATAAAAATATGATGCTGTCATGTTATTTTCTCCTAATACACCATATAAATACAAGACAAAAGTGCAATGGGCTAAAAGCTTCTATAAGAGGTCAGGTTTTGTTATAAAAAAAAAAAAGAGAGATCAGTACATTTAACAGTACTACTTTCTAAAGTATTAGAGTACATAAGTAGACTGAAAATCAAACTCAGAACTGAATGAAAATGGGTTTGTATTTTCAGATTCAAAATTATCTTGTTAAATCTTTCAAAGACCATCATTGTGGCTCAGCTTGAAAAACTGTGAAACGTTTTAAAGCCTGGATCACAGAAAATAAAGACAGATCATGCAATAAGTCCACTCACTGCACCGAGTTGCTTTTATATTTATTATTAAATGTAAAAAGCATTTAAAAACCGCCTACAGTGCATCCAGTAGGATAACGTTAAACTTTCTGTCATGCTTCAAAAACAGGAAGCATCTGCAGAATATTTACTGCAAAGATAAAAAGTCAGATTTAACCTGTGTTTTAATGATGTGGCAGTAATTTGATATGCTTATGAAATGCAGTCCCCAGCTTTTTATTTATTTTTAATTTTACCAACTTCCTTTCCTGCTCAGTGACCGTGATTGGCCATAAGATGTCAACACATATCCAAGGTCAGAGAACCTGGACTGATTTAGGAAGTTGTTAACCAGCATTACAGCGATCTTCATTTATAGAATTAATCCAGCCAGATCACCCAAAACTCTGAATATGTTCAGCCTGCTTCATGCTGCAGACCTCTGGAGTCACGAAGACCAGCAGTCAGAAACCAGAATGGATTTGGAGGAAGTAAACTAACGATCCTTTTACCTGTAGGTGCTCTTCGATGTCCTTGCGGTCGTAGGTGATTCCGCTGGGTGTGATGCAGGGCTCCCTCATCAACTCAAAACTGATTTTCCCACATAGATAATCTGGGATCTCACGCTTCTGGAAACGCACAAGGAAAAACAAGGAAAAAGTCAGAAAAATGTGACCCGAAAAGGGGCGATGACTATGAGGTGGTTTTTCTGGTTTTACAGCACAGTCTCATGGAAAATGGCTGCTTAGCTACCATATCCTTATTAACTCGTTTCCTCCTAAGAAACCACATCAATCATCCTAATCAAACATGTTTCAAATACTATGATGATTAAAACAAAAATCTAAACTCAAATAGTCACAGAGCTCACAGCTGAACTCCTAAAGGCTCAAACAGACGACAAACATCCTGCTGTCACTTCAATCAGCTGTTCCACGTCTAATAACTCATCAAAGTCAACAATCATCTCTGGCAAGAAACTTGGCAACAAAAGCAACAGTTGCTATAGAAACAGCTTGGGCCAAAAATAAAATAACTGTCTTAGGGATGCAAGCAATTTTATCAGTGTTAGTGCTGAGGCTGTACAAATAAAAGAGAGAGCTGGGGACGTAAATGTTATTTATGAGCCTGCAGGTGTTTCTCTGCTTCCTGATGAGTGTCTGCACTTGAACGTCTAACGAAGTACAACAAATGTAAAAATAAAATAAACCATCTCGCACTCACTTTTCTCTTTTCATCCACTTGGGAGAACAGCTCATCCATGTCCATTAGATACTTGTCCTTGGCAGGTCACGTGTCCAATAAATTCAAACCATGCACCAATATTAATATTTATTCATTTCAAATGTATAATTGTCACAATGGTTTAATGCAAAATAAATAGGATTTTGAAAAGTAAATCCTAAAACCTACATGTTTTGACGCAATCTTTGCAGCATCTCCTCCATTTTGATTGTCATCTTGTTTTTCTCTGTATTCTTCAAGTTCTCTGTGAAAACAAACATTCATGTCTAAAATACAACAACAACATGCACACCAAACTCATTTCATAAATAAGAAATCTCAAAGAATCAGTAGTTATGATAAAACTTCTCACCTTTCCTTCTCAGCCAGTATGAGTTTGGTGAGATAGGCGTGCAGCTCGTTCTCCTGGTTGATGCGCTTCTCCTCGATGCTGTTCCAACGTTTCTTCTTGGCAATGCGCAACGCGCTGGGTATGTCATCTCCAAAATTCAGCCTTTGCTCTTTTGCCAGGTTATAAGCTAAAAAATAAAAACAAACAAATAAATAAATAGATGTATTCAAATTCACAAAACGTTAAAGAGATCTGAAAGGTCTGTTTAGACAAACGTCAACGTTCTTTAAATGTGATGCAAGTAAACTGTGGATAAATAATTTGAAATGATTTATAGCTGGATTTTCAGATTTCTGTATGCAGAGAGGTCCAGAGAACATTTACGTACAGAAAAACTCACTATCTGACAAAAGAATCACTTTCACTGATTGTAGGAAGGTAGTGAGAGCGTCTCTAATAAATGTATCAAAGTGTATTAATATTCTACCAGAACAATGTTGTCAGGACAGAATGTCCGGTCCATAACTGGATCACAATATTTGGAGCTCTCCTGGTGAGAGTGTTTCGCCTGCTGTGGTAACTCATGTCTTCTCTTCCTTATGGGAAGGTTTTTTTTGTTTCTGTGCAAAAGTTCGCCTCATAATCATAAAGCTCTATAAGAATTTGAGTCAAATTATCTTTGAAAGATTAAATTAAACACGTTGTCCTCCAACTCCGAAGTTCTGCAGAGGACGAATAGTTGCACAAAAGAGACTTTAAGACAACACATGCACAGAACCAAAGGTTTGCATCACCAGTACAATGCAGAATGGAGACTGTATCCAGTCAGATATCAGCCTTGTAGGCTACTGGATAGGATTTCTAAAATAACATATCAGAACAACCCCCCTGTACTTTTACAGTCACACTTATAACAACAAGACAAGAAATCTGCCAATTACAAATGACAAAAAAAACCACTAAGACTACTTTACAGCTGCAACGGATCATTTGGTTTATGTGGCAAAGACGATGAAGATAAATAAAAGTTGTTTTTTGTGTTTAATGCTCTGCGTTTTCTATTTAATGGACAAACTAGTTTAGAGATGAGACAGCAAGCTTTAAGCACCAACAGCTCAAACTACATCTGGGAAAATACATGGACTGAAATGTAGTTTGTCTGCCTGCAGAAAACTGAAGAAGACAACTTAACGGCTTTTAAAAACAAGCTGAAATGATGAACTTCATAAACAACAACTGCCTTTTACTAAATCTGAGTCGCACCGAACATAAAAAAATGTCTAGGTGGTGATTACAATGAGGTGGTAACTTGTTCTGACAGGCAACTCAAGCCATCTCGTTGTCTTCTTTGTTTAAAGCAGAACTCCACTGTGACTTTTCCTTTAAAAGAAAACAGCAGTTTTGTCAAATAAAACCTCGATAAAATTAAAACTAAAGCCATGTCTGCCATTTTTAACTGAAGCTGTGCTCCTGTTTGTTGCACAGGAGTTTTCATCATCAAAATGAAGGAAGGGGTAAGATGTAAACATTTTAATTCTAGACTCCTGAAAATAAAAGTAGCCGTAGTCTAATAATGAGGGCTTCCATCATCCTTTTCCTTTGAATTGTACTGGTCATGTCATTCTTATATATATACATTCATATGTACAGTAAGTTTCCTTCAACTGCTCCTTCTTCAGGGGTTGCCACAGCGAGCAAACTCGAATGAAAGATTTGGCAATTGTTTTACACCAGATGGCCTTCCTGACGCAACCTGGGCTCGAACCCGCAACCTGGGCTCGAACCCGCAACCTCCGGATTACAAGACCACGGCACTGACCAGCTATATGTATATGTAAATATATAT